GCCAGGGGATAGAGAGGAGAGACAGCCAGGGGATAGAGAGAAGAGACAGCCAGGAGAGAGAGGAGAGACAGCCAGGGGATAGAGAGGAGAGACAGCCAGGGGATAGAGTAGGAGAGACAGCCAGGGGATAGAGAGGAAAGACAGCCAGGAGAGTGAGGAGAGACAGCCAGGGGATAAAGAGGAGAGACAGCCAGGGGATAGAGAGGATAGACAGCCAGGAGATTGAGGAGAGACAGCCAGGGGATAAAGAGGAGAGACAGCCAGGGGATAGAGAGGAGAGACGGCCAGGAGAGAGAGGAGAGACAGCCAGGGGATAGAGAGGAGAGACAGCCAGGAGAGTGAGGAGAGAAAGCCAGAGGATAGAGAGGAGAGACAGCCAGGAGAGTGAGGAGAGACAGTCAGGGGATAGAGAGGAGAGAGAGCCAGGAGAGAGAGAGAGAGAGAGAGAGAGAGAGAGAGAGAGAGGAGAGGAGAGGAGAGGAGAGGCAGCCAGGAGAAAGTGAGGAGAGAGCCAGGAAAGAGAGTGAGGAGAGAGCCCTTTAAGACCAGGGATCTCAAGTCTCCCTGATGTTCAGGGAGTCTCCCTCTTTTGGACAGCAGCTCCCTGATGTCCGCGAGAGAGGCATTTTCTCCCTGAAAGGTTTACTCTGAGTAAGTAAGTAAGATATCAGTGGGTGAAGTTTCAGAGAGAGGCTTGCCTCTGTGTGCCTTTGCACAAAAAAGGTTGAAAAACACTGCTCTATGGGATCCTGGTGGGCCGGTCAGGTATGGCAATGCATACATACATTAGGCCAAGCTGGACCACTATAAGTATTCATCATACGTGAGTTACTCTGAATTTTGCTTGTTTTCGTTTCTTAGGTTAAAGTTCCGCTTTCGGAGCGTTGCAGATGCGGCTGAAAGAACCCGCCTCGCACTTCTACAAAATGTTTTCTTTTCCATGTCACATGATAGGATTTGAAGAACATGCGGCATACTCACGCTTTGAAGCAGTGCGCTGCACTCAGCACCCACTGGTCAGAGATCAGGGAACCTCCACAGTTGTGCTGGCCTTGAAAGTACAGACTGATCTGCCAGGGCCACTGGCCATCCACGGCATCTGTGCCACCAACAATTCTGCCGGAGACCCCCGGGGAGCCACACACCCAATTATCTGCTGCAGACAGTCCACAAAGTGCTGAAAAAAAAGAGAACCTCCAGGCATTTTAATACCTGAAATGCAACTACTGCAAGCAAACATCATATTTCATTTTTCTGAAGAGCCCGGTCCCATGTTCTGCAGCCTCCTGAATACCCAGCTTACTATTCGGAGCATTATCAATGGTATAACTATAGCAGCCCATACAGCGACTATGGGTGCCTGGGGGTGGCAGGGGGCTTATTAGGGTGATCTTTCAGCTCGTTTCAGCCTTCTCCAACCATTCAGTTGAACCGAAGGGCTGCTGTATGGGCTATTCACTATAGCCCATAAGGCAGCCGAGTTAGTATGGGGGGTAGTATGGGGTATAGTATGGGGGGTAGTATGGGGTATAGTATGGGGGGTAGTATGGGGTATAGTATGGGGGGTAGTATTGGGTATAGTATGGGGCTATAGTATGGGGTGTAGTATGGGGGGTAGTATGGGGTATAGTATGGGGGGTAGTATTGGGTATAGTATGTGGGGTGTAGTATAAGGGGACTGGACAGGTTCCAAAATGTCGCCACGCTTGATGATATGATCTGCTAGAATTAATAAAAGGATTTTGTTTTGAAAGAAGACTTGGAGTGCCGGTGACCATCTATTCTTTGACATAGTTACCTAGTTACCTAGTTACATAGTTACATAGTTACATAGTTAGTCAGATTGAATAAAGACACACGTCCATCGAGTTCCACCTAGTTTTCTGTCAGATGAAGTCACTGATTGGCAGAGCCAGAAGCCACGGGGGAAGCCGGGCTGACTTATCACCACGAAGATACCTCCACCCGCGCTGCTCGGCGTAGACGGGGAAATCAAATGATTTTCTTTCACGGATAGAATGGCTGAAATCCAAGCTGTCTATGCCCAGCCTGAGGGTGGCCGTACACTAGTAGATTTTCGAAAAGGACTTTCCTAAGAAAGATCTTTCGTTCGACTTTCTATTAGTTGATGAGAGCCAAATCGATCATCCATTTCGACCACTGTGAGGAAAAAAGGTCGAAGGAGCAGGATGGAAAATCTTTCTTAAGTGAACGAAATTCTAACAGAGAATGTGGATTTCTTTCGGGAAACTCCATTCATTCCAAAATCGAATGTTAAAATGAAACAAAATTTTGTTCGACTTTTGTCAAGTCTCTGATGGCGTTATCGGGCGGTGAAGAAAGATTTTTTGGTCGGAAATTCTACTAGTGTGTGGCCAGCTTTAGTGTCAGGAAGAAGATGACAGACTAATGTAGGTCCATTCACAGTGCAGGACTCAGCGACCCAACCCCTTATAGTTTCCCTTTATAAACACACTAAAAGAAAGGTTTAGAAATTGAACCAACGACATACAGGTGAAACTGGAATAATTAGAATATGGTGCAAAGTTCATTTATTTCACTAATGCAACTTAAAAGGTGAAACTAATATATGAGAGAGACTCATTACATGCAAAGCAAGATAATTCAAGCCGTGATTTGTCATCATTGTGATGATTATGGCTTACAGCTCATGAAAACCCCAAGAACCCCAAATCCACAACCTCAGAAAATGAGAATATTACATGCAATCAATAAAACAGGGATTGGTCATAGAACAATATCGGACCTCTGAAAAGTACCAGCATGCATATGTACTCAGTACTTGGTTTGGGCCCCTTTTGCAGCAATTACTGCCATTACTTTTGCATGATATTCTAATTATTCGAGTTTCACCTGTATAACAAAATGGGATTTTTAGATGAGCTGCATTTTCATTCAATACAATGTATATGTTTCAGGGCTCGTTCACACCATTTTGTGGTCCAGATCTGGAGCAGATCAGCAGACGCTGTGCAATGTGAGCAGCGCATTTTTGATGCATTTTTTCCGCGTTCCAGACGCATTCCCTTTTATTTTTTTGGGGGGGGGGGGGCGCTGTGAGCTTGCAGATTCCTGCTCTGAGGTCACTTCTGGCCTTCAACAAAAGTGGAGCAAGGATAAACTTTTTTTTTCAGTTAGCTGCAGTGCGGTGCATTTCCGGCACGCTTTTGTTGCTTTTTTGACACGTTGGTGCTCGTTCTTGTGTCCGGAACGCAAAGCACTGCGCTCGTGTGAACTGGAGCCCATAAAACAGACAGGGATACATTGTGATGCGCTTTTAGAGCAGGAGCGAACTGCTCTGGTCTGGACAGAATCCGGACATCGTGTGAACAAGCCCTTACTGCAGGGAAATGGACAGGTTTTCAATAGGCCCTTTGGGGTTACATTAGATGCTATGATTGGGGTGTCAGGGTCAGGTAAAGGTAAGTGTTAAGGGTAGAAAATATAACCACGAAAGAAGTGAATTTCTTCCCTTAGTTATGTTTTTGTCCTATAAGGTTCCATTTTAGTACATATTTTATATGTACCCAGATAGCAAGTAGACATGTGCACTGCCAAAAAATTTGTTTAGTTTCGTTTTGTTTTAAATTCGGATTTGTGTTATTTTGTTTTTCGGGATTCGGGTGTGAAAGTCAATTCGGATTCGGAATTCGGATTCGGACGAAATTCGTTACCTGTAGTTCGTTCGCACGTTCGTTTCGTTTTCGTTTCTTATGCGTTTCGTGCATTCGTTCGTTCGTTTGCAGCAAAGTGACATTTGAGGGGGAAAGCGATTTTCTCCAACGAACGAAACGAATAAGAAACGAAAACGAAACAAACGTTCGAACGAACTACCGCTACTGAATTTCGGAAACGGAAATACGGATTCGTTTGCATTCGTTATGTCTGTAATTCGGAATTTGGATACATCCGAATGTCCGAATTTCCGAAAATTCGTCCGAATTTCGATTCGGAACGAAACTAATCGCACATGTCTAATAGCAAGCAATTGAGCTGCAGGTTTGAAAATGACTTGCTAAACTATTGCAGACTTGCCGAGCTTCACCATTTAGTTGCACAATTACAGCGAGTCTGCATTGGAAGTCTCCAGACCGGCGAGCTTGCAGAGCTCTTGCTTAGACCTGCAGGACTCTTGCCGTAGACTTGCCGAGCAAATTTGCTACAAATTTAAAAAGTGTCGCCTAGAACTTGTGCTGCGAGTGTTCTGCAAGTCTACAACCTGCCAGGAATGTGCGCAGCAAGTTACCAAGAATTACAATTTCACCCTGACACAAGTTTGTGGCAAGTTATCCTTGCTATCTGGGTAGATTATTATTGAAGGGGGTTGGAACCAAAAACTAATAACCTGGGTGCTCAGAATTGGTGTAAAATGTCTCCGGTTCTTACGCAGTGACTGTATTTGTTCCTTGGATTTCAGTTTCCCACAGAGTCACATAATTCATAGAAGTGCCGGTCCTGTCTTCTAAAGCTGTGTAGCCCATGTGTCCCTTGCAACAAAGCTACAGCTAGAATTAAAACATCGTTAGGATTTACTCTAAAGGACTGAGAGTCTTACCTGCAGCCATCAAGACCAGCACAGCGGGTGCCACCATTTTCCGAGAGCGAAGAAAGATCAGCCCGAGCTCCTTCTCTGTCTGCGATCTGCGAAGGACTGAAGTCTATTTTCCTATCGCGCTTTGCTTAAAGAATAGTGCGCTGCTCGTGATGGACAGTCCTCTTAAGCTGGTGACAAAGGGTTTGACTCTCTTATTCTTATTCTTCCAATGCGAGCAAAACAAACATTCAGAAGACTCAGCCCAAAAAAATGCAACCCTTACACATGGAAGAATCTCGTGATTGTGTCATTTACTAACAATAATTTGACAGCATTTACCTTTGTGTTGCCACAGTGTAACTCTGTCGTTACCAGCCAGGCCCCCTGGCGTGCTTCTCCACCACCGCTGTGCTGCCCATTGGCAGGCTTTAGACAACACTCTCCATTGGTCCATGGTCATTCATCTAATCACTAGGGATGGAACATGTTAGACATGATTGGGCAGAGTCATCGTGACTTTGCCCAATCATGGCTCTATATTTGTACTGAGCCCTGATTGGCACAGTCTTGCCGTTTCTGACGGCGCAGTGCATTGTGGGATGTCCCGCGGTCGAACAGACCGCGGACATCCCATAATGTTCGGCGTTCGGCGAACGTTAGAACATGCTATGTTCGAGTCAAACATAGGTTCGACTCGAACGTGCAGCCCATCCCTACTAATCACCACTTATATTATTTGAGTTATGAAATAGTGAGTTGTATTTCTAAGCTGAGTTTTACACTATATGGCCCCAAGTCCGTGGACATCTGACCATGACACCTTGTTGGACAGTCTTTTCCAAAACCATTAATATACAGTTAGTCCTCCCACCCCTGTGTGGCTTTAACAGTCTTCCCCCACCCCCAAGAAGGCTTTCCCCAAGATTTTAGAGTGTGTGTCACGTACCTTGGTGTGAGCCTGAAGTGACGAGGACGGCCTTCCCTTGCAGCTCTCGTCTGAGCCGCACTGGCAGAGAGGGGCACAAGTTGATATGACTGCTGGACACACTGGATACGCTGATGCTGACAACAGGACGCCAGAGGCAGCTGGTGATCGATGGCAGATCGGACTACACTTCTGTGAGGAGCTGAAGCATAGTCAGGAACAAGCTAGATCGGTAACGTGCGGTCAGCGTTGATACATAAGCAGGAGACAGAAGCGAAGCCAGGAGCAGGCCGGGTCATACATTTGAGAGCAGAATGGTACCAAATCAGGAGGTAGAAGAAAGGAAGGCCTGAAGCAGAAAAAAATAAATAAAATAAGCGCAGGGCATACATGACTAGGTGTATAGGGGAGACAAGCTAAAAGGGTTAACGAGGGTTCGGTCTTGGGGACATGGTGACTTACCTGATTGGACAGGTCGAAAGGTGAGGTGGGGCTTGAACGGTGGTCTGAGGAGGAGGGTCTTCTCGGCAGCAGTTGGAGATTGTCTGAGGTAGAGTGAACTTCCCTCCCGCCCGCCCAAGGAATTTTGGTGTTAGTCCAGGTAGTTATGCGGTTGGGGTCTTTGGAGGCCATCAAATAATAGGTGCTGGTGGTTAAGGTTTGGGGACCTGTCTTGGTATGGGTCCTCTATGCATCTATTGATATTCGGAGTGTATGCGGCCAGTTGGTGGATGCCCCCGAGGCAGTGTGTTGCGGCTGGGGGCCTAACAGGTTGTAGTACTGCCGCAAGTAACGGATCAAAGGTGTGGCCTTCAAAGACCTGCAACTTTGTTCAGGTAATTCTGATAATTGTTTATATAGTATGTTTTATATATCAAAGTTGTTAATAAAAGGCCGCCAAGGCCATTTTATACCAATCTGGAGTGTGGTCTAGTTATTACTTACAAGGACAGGTGGTGGGTGGTCTTGGGGGCTTGTAGTGGAAAAGAATGGGGACATCTATGCTACCTCAGTCATGGTCAGGGACGAGCCGAGGTCACAAGGCAGGCAGCAAGCAGACAGAGTCAGGAATCAAGCTGTGTCAAATGGATATCAGAAACAGAATCACAGATGCAGAGTACAGCTGAAGATCTCTCAGCAAGGGGCAGATGCAGGAGCCATCTTTAAATAGCCCGCCTGGCACCAAAGACAGGCGTGCACACGCTACTGCACGTGCACATCGTTTTTTGCGCATGCGCATTACTAGCACCGTAGCGCAGAATACGCGCATCCGCATAGTTTCGTGCAGCAATCCGGCCAGAAGCTGTCCTATGGGTGCTGAATGATGTACCCTGACAGTGTGTTTGGTCGAATTCGTGCCAAATTTAGCCAAAAATAATATTTGTGATGTCAGTTACAGGTGGAAGAGAAGATTTGCCTCGCAATCAATGTTCCAATTTATCTAAAAGGGGCTCAGTAGGGTTGAGGTGAAGGAATGATGTAGGACACTTGTGTTCCTTCATACCAGACTAGTCAAACCATGTCTGCATGGAGCTGGGTTGGAGCACAGAGGTAAAGTCGTGCAGGGAGAGGAAAGGGGAAGTCCATGGTTGTGAGAAAGTTCTCTTTATTCTGTAATATAAACAGTCAGGGCCCTTCATTGGAAACATCTGAAGTCAATCATTTGAGTTGCATAATGAACCCTCACGGAGTCACTAAACAGCCCATTTCTAGAACATGGAAAATGTACTTACGTCACTTCTAAATAGTTTTGTAATCTTCTTTTCTTTTGCATTTCAATGAACGACCTTTAATTCCTTAATGCCATATGGCATGCGGTTTACTTTTGTCATGAATGTGTCTAGGTTTATTTTACAAACGGTTTCTACTGGTTGGACAGGTTGGGTTTAGGCTGTGCAGCTAGGATCACTGTAGCAGAGAAAAAGAAATGACCTGTAGCATTCCTGGTGCCGAGTGCATTGTGTGTACCTGACTCCCACCTATCCACCATTCCAGTGCCACTGACTGTGCACCTGACTCCCACCTATCCACCATGCCACTGACTGTGCACCTGACTCCCACCTACCCACCATTCCAGTGCCACTGACTGTGCACCTGACTCCCACCTACCCACCATTCCAGTGCCACTGACTGTGCACCTGACTCCCACCTACCCACCATTCCAGTGCCACTGACTGTGCACCTGACTCCCACCTATCCACCATTCCAGTGCCACTGACTGTGCACCTGACTCCCACCTATCCACCATTCCAGTGCCACTGACTGTGCACCTGACTCCCACCTACCCACCATTCCAGTGCCACTGACTGTGCACCTGACTCCCACCTATCCACCATTCCAGTGCCACTGACTGTGCACCTGACTCCCACCTATCCACCATTCCAGTGCCACTGACTGTGCACCTGACTCCCACCTACCCACCATTCCAGTGCCACTGACTGTGCACCTGACTCCCACCTACCCACCATTCCAGTGCCACTGACTGTGCACCTGACTCCCACCTATCCACCATTCCAGTGCCACTGACTGTGCACCTGACTCCCACCTATCCACCATTCCAGTGCCACTGACTGTGCACCTGACTCCCACCTACCCACCATTCCAGTGCCACTGACTGTGCACCTGACTCCCACCTATCCACCATTCCAGTGCCACTGACTGTGCACCTGACTCCCACCTATCCACCATTCCAGTGCCACTGACTGTGCACCTGACTCCCACCTACCCACCATTCCAGTGCCACTGACTGTGCACCTGACTCCCACCTACCCACCATTCCAGTGCCACTGACTGTGCACCTGACTCCCACCTATCCACCATTCCAGTGCCACTGACTGTGCACCTGACTCCCACCTATCCACCATTCCAGTGCCACTGACTGTGCACCTGACTCCCACCTACCCACCATTCCAGTGCCACTGACTGTGCACCTGACTCCCACCTATCCACCATTCCAGTGCCACTGACTGTGCACCTGACTCCCACCTATCCACCATTCCAGTGCCACTGACTGTGCACCTGACTCCCACCTACCCACCATTCCAGTGCCACTGACTGTGCACCTGACTCCCACCTACCCACCATTCCAGTGCCACTGACTGTGCACCTGACTCCCACCTATCCACCATTCCAGTGCCACTGACTGTGCACCTGACTCCCACCTATCCACCATTCCAGTGCCACTGACTGTGCACCTGACTCCCACCTACCCACCATTCCAGTGCCACTGACTGTGCACCTGACTCCCACCTATCCACCATTCCAGTGCCACTGACTGTGCACCTGACTCCCACCTATCCACCATTCCAGTGCCACTGACTGTGCACCTGACTCCCACCTACCCACCATTCCAGTGCCACTGACTGTGCACCTGACTCCCACCTACCCACCATTCCAGTGCCACTGACTGTGCACCTGACTCCCACCTATCCACCATTCCAGTGCCACTGACTGTGCACCTGACTCCCACCTATCCACCATTCCAGTGCCACTGACTGTGCACCTGACTCCCACCTACCCACCATTCCAGTGCCACTGACTGTGCACCTGACTCCCACCTATCCACCATTCCAGTGCCACTGACTGTGCACCTGACTCCCACCTATCCACCATTCCAGTGCCACTGACTGTGCACCTGACTCCCACCTACCCACCATTCCAGTGCCACTGACTGTGCACCTGACTCCCACCTACCCACCATTCCAGTGCCACTGACTGTGCACCTGACTCCCACCTATCCACCATTCCAGTGCCACTGACTGTGCACCTGACTCCCACCTATCCACCATTCCAGTGCCACTGACTGTGCACCTGACTCCCACCTACCCACCATTCCAGTGCCACTGACTGTGCACCTGACTCCCACCTATCCACCATTCCAGTGCCACTGACTGTGCACCTGACTCCCACCTATCCACCATTCCAGTGCCACTGACTGTGCACCTGACTCCCACCTACCCACCATTCCAGTGCCACTGACTGTGCACCTGACTCCCACCTACCCACCATTCCAGTGCCACTGACTGTGCACCTGACTCCCACCTATCCACCATTCCAGTGCCACTGACTGTGCACCTGACTCCCACCTATCCACCATTCCAGTGCCACTGACTGTGCACCTGACTCCCACCTATCCACCATTCCAGTGCCACTGACTGTGCACCTGACTCCCACCTACCCACCATTCCAGTGCCACTGACTGTGCACCTGACTCCCACCTACCCACCATTCCAGTGCCACTGACTGTGCACCTGACTCCCACCTATCCACCATTCCAGTGCCACTGACTGTGCACCTGACTCCCACCTACCCACCATTCCAGTGCCACTGACTGTGCACCTGACTCCCACCTACCCACCATTCCAGTGCCACTGACTGTGCACCTGACTCCCACCTATCCACCATTCCAGTGCCACTGACTGTGCACCTGACTCCCACCTATCCACCATTCCAGTGCCACTGACTGTGCACCTGACTCCCACCTACCCACCATTCCAGTGCCACTGACTGTGCACCTGACTCCCACCTACCCACCATTCCAGTGCCACTGACTGTGCACCTGACTCCCACCTATCCACCATTCCAGTGCCACTGACTGTGCACCTGACTCCCACCTACCCACCATTCCAGTGCCACTGACTGTGCACCTGACTCCCACCTATCCACCATTCCCATGCCACTGACTGTGCACCTGACTCCCACCTATCCACCATTCCAGTGCCACTGACTGTGCACCTGACTCCCACCTACCCACCATTCCAGTGCCACTGACTGTGCACCTGACTCCCACCTATCCACCATTCCAGTGCCACTGACTGTGCACCTGACTCCCACCTATCCACCATTCCAGTGCCACTGACTGTGCACCTGACTCCCACCTACCCACCATTCCAGTGCCACTGACTGTGCACCTGACTCCCACCTATCCACCATTCCAGTGCCACTGACTGTGCACCTGACTCCCACCTATCCACCATTCCAGTGCCACTGACTGTGCACCTGACTCCCACCTACCCACCATTCCAGTGCCACTGACTGTGCACCTGACTCCCACCTACCCACCATTCCAGTGCCACTGACTGTGCACCTGACTCCCACCTATCCACCATTCCAGTGCCACTGACTGTGCACCTGACTCCCACCTATCCACCATTCCAGTGCCACTGACTGTGCACCTGACTCCCACCTACCCACCATTCCAGTGCCACTGACTGTGCACCTGACTCCCACCTACCCACCATTCCAGTGCCACTGACTGTGCACCTGACTCCCACCTATCCACCATTCCAGTGCCACTGACTGTGCACCTGACTCCCACCTACCCACCATTCCAGTGCCACTGACTGTGCACCTGACTCCCACCTACCCACCATTCCAGTGCCACTGACTGTGCACCTGACTCCCACCTATCCACCATTCCAGTGCCACTGACTGTGCACCTGACTCCCACCTATCCACAGTGCCACTGACTGTGCACCTGACTCCCACCTACCCACCATTCCAGTGCCACTGACTGTGCACCTGACTCCCACCTATCCACCATTCCAGTGCCACTGACTGTGCACCTGACTCCCACCTATCCACCATGCCACTGACTGTGTACCTGACTCCCACCTACCCACCATTCCAGTGCCACTGACTGTGCACCTGACTCCCACCTACCCACCATTCCAGTGCCAATGACTGTGCACCTGACTCCCACCTACCCACCATTCCACTGCCACTGAATGTGCACCTGACTCCCACCTATCCACCATGCCACTGACTGTGCACCTGCCTCCCACCTATCCACCATTCCAGTGCCACTGACTGTGCACCTGACTCCCACCTACCCACCATTCCAGTGCCACTGACTGTGCACCTGACTCCCACCTACCCACCATTCCAGTGCTACTGACTGTGCACCTGACTCCCACCTACCCACCATTCCAGTGCTACTGACTGTGCACCTGACTCCCACCTATCCACCATTCCAGTGCCACTGACTGTGCACCTGACTCCCACCTATCCACCATTCCAGTGCCACTGACTGTGCACCTGACTCCCACCTACCCACCATTCCAGTGCCACTGACTGTGCACCTGACTCCCACCTATCCACCCTTCCAGTGACACTGACAGTGCGCGTGGATGCCACCTTTCCACTTCCACTTACAGGCACTGTGTCACTGGAATGGTGGAAAGGTGGGAGCCAGGTGCACACATCAACCATTTCATTGACACCAACTGCATAGATATACATACATACATAAAAAAAGATGCATATAAAGCAGTCAGCAGCTTCCATTAATGCTGAGGGAGCCTCTTCCCCTTCCTCCTGCCCATTGCTTCTTCTCTCAGTGCTGGAACAAGGCCATCTGGTGCCCAGGGCAACGATTTCAAACTGCCCCCCCCCCCCCCCCC